GAGAGAACTTAAACGAGATCCCCCTCAATCCTGTTTTAAAGGATTATCTGAAATCCTTCCCATTTCAGATATAAGTACAGCATTAACTGTATAGGGACGTGTGAAAGATGTGTAAAGATATCCAGCTTCCTGGATTTTTAAACATGTTTGACAGTGAGCAAACTTATTTTTGTAGCAATTTACTGTATTTTGGGATGGAACTTGAACACTTGACTTCTTATGTTTACAGAAACTGTTTGCACAAACCTGGGGTTTTAAAACCCTGGCATAATTTTTCTGCCAAGCAGAATATTTTATTATTTTATAATATTTTAAAATATATTAACATAATAAACTCTATTGTGGACGTTTTTAAAAAAAAAGAGCATCTGACTTTTGTTTTAAATGTTCTGGTACCTATCCTGCTAACAAACTTCAACTGCTAATTGAATGTGTAAGTGCAGACAGGTCTCCATGTGGTCCTGCTCTTTGCCCTGACCTAGCTCACCTGTTTTAGTGCTAGTCCAGCAGATAGAGGATTCCTGCCCCAAAAAGCCTAAAATAGAAAGATACAAGAGAGTAGAAAATGTACTGAGGATGAATCGGCGCAGGAATCTAGCTCTCGTCTAAATCCATAAGAGCAGGAACAGTGTGTTAAGACTACAGTGGTACATAGTTTTTAAAAGAGTGACTTGAACCCTTAGCTGAGCTAACTGCACCAACTCTGCCTTGCCTTATTTCTATTAAAAGCTACAAGGCTCTCAGCAAGAAGAGGTTGCTGTCTGACACAACCAAACCATATGAATGTTGGTGGGGAAAAATAAAACTGTCCAGAAATGCCATTCACACACTTTAAAAGGCCATGAACACTGTATCATGATGCACTGGGGGAAGGATAGCTTAGTTCTCTCTTTAAATTGTCACATGCAAAATGTGGCAAAGGTGCAGATATCTTTAGACTTCAAAAAGGTGTTCCTTGTCTTAAAATCCTGGTCATCTACAGAGCACAGACTTGGTATTTTAAAAGAATCTATGACTTAGCTGTGTGACAGGATCCAGAGAGCATAAGCCTATAGCTTTACAGCTGTAATTTCTAGTGGCTAAACTGCATTCAGGAAAGTTACAAAACATTAGACTGTTTTGTAATACCATTTGTAGAAACTCTGGTGCCTTCATCAGTTTCCTATCTGCTCACAAAATGCAAATCAGTGCCCCATAGAGCTGTAGCCATGAATGACTTGAGATGCCTAATTTGACAAAATGTCACTTGCATTACGATAAAGTTTCTCCCCTCCCCCAAGCGTTTCCTGAAATCCATGAAAAGCTGTCTTAGAAAACCAGCTGAACCAAATCACTTCAAAGAAGGCACAGATTTTCACAGAAATGTACTCTATCAGCACAGATCTGCAGTGCTTACAGTAACTGTAAGCAGTAAATGAAGTCATTTTTAGTGTTTGGAAGATAAAAGGTCTCTTCCTCTACTTTAATTCACATTGCTTTTACAGCTAAAGCCATTTTTAGGAAACATTGAGTACGTGTTATGTAATGTAGTGTTCCTTACTGAATAATTTGTTTAGTATCATTTACTCTACAAAATCAGCTCTTACATTGTTGATGTTTCTTTGGAATAAATAGGTTTCCTCTACAAAGATGACTAAGGATCACTCACAGTGCTTTGGAAATTGTGAAAAAGGGGAAAAAGAAAGATCATACAGGCAGTATCATGTGACCCTTTACTGTGCTGCTTCCCTAGAAGTATTATTTGGACTGGTACTGCCTAGCAGTCTTCCATTCTGTTGTCAGCCATCCCTGGCTGAGATTAGCAGACAGCATTTCTGCCTAATTCTAAAGCTGGAATTAGTTGCAGAATGATGCATTTTCCCACAGCAGTTGCAAGGCTGTAAATTGGGAAGTAGTGAATGCTGTGCTATACAGCAGATACAAGAGCAGAGCAAAGAGGTTGCCTTGGGAAAGAAAAAAAAGTCTTTGTAGGGTGAAGGCTGCCAAACAGGTTTGCTGTCAGCAGAGATGTTATCCCTTTCCCCAGCCCCACACTGTAGTATCTTTTAACCCTTCAGGCCCCAAACTAATGACTCTTGCCTTGCTATATAAATCAGCGTCCACACAACAGCATTAGTGGCAGAACAAGCGCAATGTAGCTTAGAGGGCTCTCCACTACCCCTGATAGAAACAAACAAAATTAGACCTAGATATGTGGCAAGGGGCTTCCCACTGAGAGGCATGGAATGAAAAGCATAAGGACTGAGCCCATTTCATTTTCTCCCTGGCAGAAACAAACCAACTTACTTTCTCTCTCCCTTTTATTGCTTTAGAGTAACTTTAGCAGAAATAATCCATATCATCCCACATGAAGTGCCTAAATGCCTTCATTTTGTCTTTGATACCAAATGCAAACGTGGGATAGCTCAGAAAAAAATATAAGCAAAACTATAAATAAGGACAAGAAGGTTAGAATTGTCTAAAAGGTCTCTTAAGGAAAGAGGAGACAAAGCTGGCTTGTATTTTTTAACTACCTATCTTTTCACCTGCCTTATTCTTACCCTTCCTTCCTTTTCTTTTGTCTTTCTCCCCAGCATACAATACAGTGGCCAGGCAGATCCTCTTTCTAGCAGGTATATGTAAGTTGCTCCAACACAACTAAGAAATCCTAACCACAGTATGCGTGTTCACAATGTCACCCTCACTTGCCCTCTGTAAGAGCTAATGAAGGGCTCCCTAAAACGTCTGCTTACCTGCGTGCACTGATTTAAGGACTCTGTCACATCTAAGGGGTGTAGTAGGAGTCTCCTGAAGATTTCTGTAGTAATTCCAGCTGTCAAATCTCTCATCCTCTGTTTAATAAAGTACAGCAAGGTCAAATAGGGAATTTGCTGTATTCTGCACCTAAAGCAATGGAAACACATAACAGCACAGTGATTTTAATCCTCCCTGCTAAATAGTATGTGAAGAGTGGTGTTTCCAGTCCCACCCCCTCTTGCCAAGCTCTTTGCTATGACCTTTTCACTCGTGGCTGTGGCTGGAAAGTGAAGTAAACAGTCAATCTGGTAAAGGACTACAGAAGAATTTGAGCCATGCTCAGGAGCAGAGCAAAGCCATGTTTTCTGAAGAGACTGCAATATTTATAGTTAGTGGGGAAGGGACAGCTTTAAAATAATATCATTTGCAGCACGGCTGCGTCACCCACGAGGACCCTGGAGGTCTCTGTCCCACAGAGAGCAGCAGGGTGGGAACTGTGCCGCAATGTTCTGCTGGGACACCACCCCAGCCCTGCTCCAATGCAGTGCTCCTGTGACTACAGGCAGCAAGACTGAGGCTTCCTCACTTTTTAAAGACTGAAACACACATTTGCTTTCACAGTAGGTTAATTTACATACCATGCTGCAGCTGTAAAACACTTGCTAATGAATAGAGCTAATTAATAGAACTGGAGGTGTTCAGAGAACCTGGTTAATTTAGCCACAAAGAGTTTTTGAATGCTCAATAGGAGCCTCTTGAATGACAAACATAACCTTACCCACTGTGAAGCTGTGGTCATACTAATTCTGTTATGATTGAAGTCATTTACAAGAAGCGAGGCTTCAGCTGCAGTCAGCACTGATGCTATTTTCAACAATCAAGAAAAAAAAGTGTCCCATAGGGCAACAGGCTGACCATATCATATCTAGCCATCAATACTCTTCTCCCATCTTGTACTTAATCCTCCATTGAACAGTGTATCCACCTCCTGAATCTTCTCCTTCAGATCCATTGTCAGCCCCTTCTGTTGTATTGGGCTGTCATTCAGTCCCTGGCTCTCCTTCCACCCTTCCATTCATGGTGCTGACAGCTGTGTGAGCAATGCATTTATTCATTAATTCCAGCTTTCAGACAAAGTGTGTAACAGTGACTTAATTTGGACACTACATTGCTTTCTTGTGCAGTCAAAGGGTAGGCTAACAGCTGCATGTGCAGTAGGTGTCTGAGATGTTTCTCTCAATTTCAAAGAAGTGCCATTTAAGACTTCATTGCCACTCACTTGTCTGTTGTCATGCTTCTGCATAGTACTCTGATCCTGTCACTATATCTGACTTTTTCCTCCACAGCTGTTTCCCAGCATAGCAGCCAAATTTGATACACCTGGGTCCAATTTGCTCACTGTGTCACCATGGAATAACAGAAACACAGGCCAGCAGGGAGCATTGTCGTGGTTTAGCCCCAACCAGTGTCCAAGCACCACCCAGCCACTTGCTCACTCCTGGTGGGATGGGGGAGAGAATCAGAAGGGCAAAAGTAAGAAAACCTGTGGATTGAGATATAAACAGTTTAATTATTGAAATAAAATAATAATACATTGTCATGAAAAGGAAAACAACAAAAAGAGAGACAGCCACAAAACCCAGGAAAAACAAGTACTGCAGCTGCTCACCACCTGCTTGACTGATGCCCAGCCCAACCCTGGGCTGCAATCACTGCCCCTGGCCAACTCCCCTCAGTTTATATACAGATCATGATGTCATACGGTATGGAATAGCTCTTGGGCCAGTGGGGGTCAGCTGTCCTGGCTGTGCCCCCTCCCAGCTTCTTGTGCCCCTGGCAGAGCATGGGAAGCTGAAAAAGTCCTTGACTTAGTATAAGCACTGCTTAGCAACAACTAAACCATCAGTGTGTTATCAATGTTCTTCTCATACTAAACCCCAAACAGAGCACTATGCCAGCTACTGGGAGGAAAATTAACTCTTATCCCAGATGAAACCATGACAAGCATAAGGAAAAGCCACATGTACCCACTGCTCAAGTATAGCAAAGCAGCAAAGGCCAAAGAGTCAGAGATGATGCTTGTGCATAGCAAAGCAATTACCCTATAGTCTTCAGCTATGAGAATATCAGATGTTGTGAGGATAGAATAGCAGCCAAACAGAATAAAGCAAATAACTGTGCCACAAGCTGCATTTGCTCAGCTTTGTTCATTCTGCTCCTCTTGATAATATTAACAAGGCAAAGTAGGATCAACTTTCTGTTGTCATTTTAATCTCAGTATGTTTTTTGTAGCTCCCAGCCATGTTACGAATGACAAATCCAGTCATCACTCTTGAAGAGTTCAGTCTCCTTCTGTGAATCACTACTGCCTGGCCTGCTTATGCTTGTGAGCACAAAGGTTCACCTTCACTAACAAACAGGTTTAGGTTTTGGGGTTTTTTTTCTCTCTGCTTCTAACTGGAATAAACCAACTGTGAAGATTTGCTCAATTTTTGCTGAATAAGACCCACTGTGCTGTGCTTGTAGGTGTGCATAAACCCTCCAGATGTGGCTGTGGAAGTAAAGTTCTGTCTGAGTGGTAAAAAAGGGGAACTTCCTTTACATGATTAGTATGTTTTTAATCAGGGGCTTCTTACACACTTATCTATTGCCAAACACTTATCACTTCTTACATAGAAATACTCATTAAATGCCTCTTTCTTCCCCATGTAATTAATTACTTCTTAATTCTATTTTTGATACAGGAAAGGTTTGGTTTAATCATAACAGTACCCTTGTTTACACATGATTCTGAATTCTACAGCCTGTAGTTGTCTATTCTGAATACGGTGGGCCAAAACATGCTCAGGTTTACAGTGAGATATTCCATGGGCAGATCCAGAATGGTGCTGGGTTGCCTGAGAGGACACTCTGACCGAGACATCTGTGCACTCGCAGTATTGCATGGGCTCAGGATGTTTCCACAGTGTTCTTAGCTTAATGTAACTTGTGGTGCGGATCTAGCGATCATTGGTGGGACATGAGCTCCACAAAGCTCCTTTACTTGTATTTTACAGCATCTTTGCATGCCATAAAGATTTGGAGGCTAGCAGATACCAATACATTCATCTAGTTTGACCTGTATATAAAAAAAGGCCTTGGAAGTTTCACCAGGAATTTTCTGCAGTGCAAAAGTTATTCCTGCTTTTCAAAGCCAGTTACGTGTAATTAAACTTAGAGTTTTTAGGCAGCCATCCAATACCAACTGAAGGATGTCAAGCACCAAAAAATTTACTGTGTTCTTCCATGTGCTTTTCCACCAGTTAACACACTGGCTGCATTACAATGCAACTTACCTTTTCCGATCATCAACATGTCCGGCCAGTCACAGTTCTCTTTCCATTTGCGATTACAATACCATCATGGGACGACTGCAGCTGGAGAGGGAATAAAGCCCTGAAGTAGATGGTGGGACATTTCTTCTCCTTACGTGACAGAGTAGGACTGGGCAGAAGGCTGGCTTCTTTTAAGTAAGGTGAGCTAGTTGCCACCCAGGATTTGTAGAAGTTGGTAACAAGGGAGGAAAGAGGAAAGTCTTGATCATCAGTCTTAGTTGAGCACATTGGGAAAGTAGAGGAATCTGAAAGTGTTATAAATCAAGTTCCTCCCTCTCTCAGGCAGCTGAAATGCAGATAGTGAAGAAACTGTAGCTACTGTACTAAAATAAGACATGCAGGCCACACAGACGAAAGACCTGGAAAGATGCACCCAGTTGGATAGGTAAGCAGGATAAGTAGTTTAGGCCTTTACTTAGATGCTGTCAAATCTCTTGGAATTTCTGTGCTCTGTTTTAGTTGCTTTTCATAGTACAAGTGGACATGCTTGCTCTGTTAAAAAAGCAAAAAACTGTTTGGCCCTTCTTTATTCTACTGCTAACTGGCCTCCTGGTACTCTACTGCAGACACTGAGTAGCACAAAAAAGATCAGTGGTTTCAATAGTCAAGACACATAATCTGTACATAGATGAACATGTTAATGATAAGAAAGGAGAAGAATTAACTTAGTAGCAACCAAGAAAAAATAGGAAAAATATTTAGCAAATTTTCAGAGGAGATAGTAGTAAAAGGTGGCTTTACTGTGATGAATGCTTTGACATTTAGCGGTGGTGTCAGCAGAAGCAGAGAATAGGGGATAGGGAGATAGCTTGAGAAGGAAGGCAGAAGTGGGATCAAATCTCAAAATCTGTACTTTCCATGTAGCTATAAAGTCATCCTTTAATTTGGTTACAATGCTGCCAGATTAAGTCAGGATAAAGTGAAAAGTTACCAGTCCCTGGCAGATGAATACGTTGTCACTGTAAAGGAAGCCTCTGAATTCAGTTACCTTTATCTTAGACTGAAGATCTTAGATAATTTCACCAATCCCTTCCATCTTTCACGAAGTTCAAACTGAAAATAAGGTGCTTTACTATACCTGTCTAACAGGCACCCTAGAGGCAGCATTAGCACAGGAGAGCCAGCAGCTGCTGGAAGTCAGGGGAGTGCAGAGGAGTTCCCAGCACTGTACCGTGTTCCCACAGTATTCCTACTGAATTGAAGTACACTTTGCAAGACACAGTGTGAATGTGAAGAGATAGGGAGAATACCGTGGACCCATTATTTCTTTCGGTAAATCTGCTCTACTCACAACATTTACACATGTTGTGGGAAAAATAAAAATATTAACCATATTCAATTTCAGGTTTATCATATCAGAACATACAAACAACTGGAGTGAAATCTTAGCTCCAGTGAAATAAATTTCCAGGGAAGATCAACTTTTCCATAAATAGTATTATTAAATAACAGTAAGTATCTTTTTAAAATTAAATCTAAGAGCTATGGTTGCATCATGAAGATTTCTTACTTGATAGAGCCCCAGCTAACTCACAGGTTGAGGGTGACGTGAAACCATATCTGTGCTGTTGAGCTTTGATACTGAAAGTGTGTGTACAAAATTCTGTGCAATTTCCTGCTCATTCCTTCCAGCTCTGCAGGTCTCCCCTGTGCCCTTCACACTGAAACTGATAACTATGTTACATTTTCACCCTAAACTAAACTTTCCCCAAATCAGCTTCCCTACAGCAGAAACTAATTATTACTGGAATTTGAGTCAGATTGAACTTTCAGGCTGAGATTTTAGGTATCCTCTTAGCGATTTTTAAACAACTTCTCGTTCCCAGACAGAGCACTAAAACCAGAAGTGAACATAAAATATTATCCCCAAATCGTTACAACACAGACTTGACTAAGGCTTACAGATTTTGTAGCAGTCAGTGAAATAGTCTCATTTGGTTGTTTCTTGTCCTGCCCGTAAACCATCACTGTTCAGGCAATCTTGAGAGATCTGGTAGTGGAGTTGGTATATCCTATAGACAGATTCATGACACCGAAGTAGGATAGGTATGATCTCTAACATCATGACTAGGCCACACAAGGAGTAAGGCTGCTAGCTACTTTCTTAGCTCTCCCCAGATAAAAAACAGCAAACTTTCTTGCTAGACTCTCCTGGCATGTATTCCACATGCACAGTCTGTTCAGAAACAGTTTTGACAAATGCTTCAGAGATTATTTTAGGTTTTCTGTCCCCCTTACACTCCCATTTGCTCTCACCAGGTAAGTTGTTTACACCAGCTACGTTAAACAGCTGACTTTGATGCAAATCAAAAGCTTTCAGAAGACAGATGCCTAACTGCAGGTGGCAATTAGATCTGTAAATTAGGTGCCTAAAAGACATTGTGAACCCTTCCCCAGGTTTCTCCATGGTTCCCAACAAGGCCAGCTATACAGAGTAAAATGAAGTGAGCCATGAAAGCTTTATGAGTATTACATAGCAATTGCTTTTTGTTTTAAAAAACCCTGAAGTTACAGTTCAGTACACCTCATGCCTTTTGCAGCCATGAGATAGGAATTTCCCTTTCAAGTAGAGGGATCTTCTCTATCTAATCTCACACAGTTAGTCAGTAACTATGTGACTAATGGTAAATCCATCACTGTCCTGTAACCAAATGTAACATGTGTAAGTTACTATCTTAGGCAAACGTGCCTCTTTTTGTTTTGGAAAACCAAGAAGAATTACGGCTTTGTAGTAAGAGAAGAAAATACTTGTCAGAGTGTCTGTGTAAAACTGGCAGCCAACAGAAGCTTTTCCCAGACAAGACAGTGTAACAACACAATATTCCAGAGCACAAGCTACACTCTTGCAGTCCACAGCTCTGCAATGTAGCATCTAGCTATCTCACCTTTATGCATTTGGCATGTACCATATTTGTATAATTGTATGCAAAGTAGATGGTGCCTTTCTTAAAGGTAATAATTTCAGTTCCAGTATTCTCAGCCCAGCACATTTGGTAATGTAATTTCCATTTTCATGTAAGAGTTTCTGGCTGCTGTAGATCTTCTCATTACTGTTGCTGCACAGAAAAAGCTAGTGACTGGCTGAGCTGTGTTAACAGAGCATACAATCAACTTGCTCTGCAGCGTAAGTTTGCTGTAATTTTCCTCAGTGGCATTTTCACAATGACATTTGCAACCGATATTGTTCTTATAATTTGTCAGTTACGCCAAATGATTCCTCAAAGTTTCCGTTTAGTAAAAAAAAGAAAAAGACGACTGCAATGAAAGAAATCTTAGACCTTACAGGGGATTCATTACTGGCCCAGAGGCCAGAGCTGTCCAAACCATCTCAAGCCTTATGCACAAACTGTTTTATAGCATGCAATATGCTGTGGTACACTGGGTTTGTATACATTTCCAACAACTGATAGGTGTACATCTGCTGCTGTAATTCTTCAGCTCACTGTAAAAAGCAGTTAACTCCTTTCTTGAGTGGGTAGCTGAAGCAGCAGGAGTCTAGAAGAAGGCTCAGAGATGATATGAGCATTTGTACACAGGGACAGTGATTCCTGGGGTTCTCCATCTTTCTCTAAGGCCTGAGAAGCCAGACAGTAAGCATCTCATGGGGGATGCTGATGACCTCCTCAGCTAGACTGATTGTCTTTAGGGCCAGACTGACTGTCATGATGAGAGTCCAGCTCAGATTGGCAATTAAGGGATGTTGTTAAGGGACGACTTTTTCAACAGGCTGCAGTGTCATTTGTCCTTGGGAATTAAATAAGAATATCTCACCTAATTTGTGTGTTGCAGTTGTAAAGGTCTCAAGCACTAGCGAGACTTTAAATGTCTCCAACTTTCTGCCAGTTGGAGTTTTGAGGACTTTAAGCTTAGTACAGAACACACTGGGAACACTTGATATCTTCTAATACACAAAGTTGATAGTGTGGCCCACGTGCCACTCTGGCCTTGAACTCTGTGAATAGCAGCCATGTACATACTGGTCAGCGGGATTTTCTCTGGAGTCTAAATGCAAATAAAGGAGGACAGTTTTTGTCTTGGGAGTGGAGTGAGAAGGAGTGTGAAATAGCAGGGCCTACTGAAGCTGTAAGGCACAAATAATGTTCCAGTTAGCCACAAAAGTACTAGGGTTAGGAAAAGAAAATAGGAAAGAACAGAAATTCAGCCTTTGGATCAAGTGCTGCTGAAATGAAGCTTAGGACTCTGAACTCCAAACAAGGAAACTATCCCCTGCCCTGTGATTCTGGAATCTTGCACTATATAGTTTGTACAAAATATCTACTCACAGTTTGAGTGAAGCATTATAGCTTAGACTCATGGACAGAGCCCTTTCCAAGGCATCAGGAACCCTTAGTTTCATTCTGTACTCTGCCAACAAATTATTCTATACATCATACTACTTTACCTTATAACCTCCCCCCAGCTTTTAACTGTATGGATAAATAGACTGATATTTCACAGCACATAATAGAAATGTGTATCGTCTTTTTTGGACCATTAGGTGACACTGCAAGGGTTTCAGTAACAGAGTACTCAGTAAACAGAGGTTTGGCTTTTTTTAGTTCATGGTGGCCTATTCTCTTTGTAGTCCTTTTACAGCTACCCTGTTGAAACCACAACAAATTCCACATGTTTCTGACAGTAGGATAAAAGTCTCTTGATTCAAACTCTGAGTCTATAAACCTCCCCATGCCTCCATTTCCTTTACCTGTGCAATGGGTGTCATGCTCTAGTCCTAGAAAATTTACTGTAATACACACATGTATTTAGAAAGAGCCTTTAACTCCGGGGAATAAAAACAAAGGCCTAGCTGATTATTTTCTCATACACCTAAGTACTATTTTATGTCTACTTTTAAAACAGATACACCTAATGAGGAAGAATTTATCCGTGTGAATTGCAAAACTTGTATTGTGTATCTTTTTATTATGCTTTGGAACTAATAAAA